CGGACCGTATACATTTAGTCATTAGTCACTAACCTAAATGAAGTTGATATGTGTAACACAAAAACACCTTCGGACCGTATACATTTAGTCATTAGTCACTAACCTAAATGAAGTTGATATGTGTAACACAAAAACACCTTCGAACCGTACACATTTAGTCATTAGTCACTAACCTAAATGAAGTTGATATGTGTAACACAAAAATTCCAAAAGCATCAGAATATTATCTGCTGATTTGTCACTTAAGAACTTGTTAACTTCTTTGGCACTAAAATCTACAACATGCCGAAAAAACAAAACTGAACAATATTTTACGTTTCTTTACATAAACTATCAATTCGTTTTGGGAAGAGTTAAAAAGTAGCAGCTAAATTGCTGGTGTTCATGACAATAAACATTTATTTTACTTTTCATTATTACAGTGTTACTGGTAACCAGAGTAAAATAAACAATGAGGTGAAGTTCAAACTGTAATGCATTTGCAAAGAAATATGACTTAAAGTTGTTTTCTTTCTCGCCATAACCATAGTTACAGTGAATAAAAGATGGAATAACCTGTTCAGCTTTAGAGCTAAAGTTCATATTTGGTGTTAACTATTGGGACCGAACAAAAGTCATGAAGTGGAAGAACGTTTGGTTTTATGCTTAGACGTTTGGTAAAGTCTTGCAGAAAGGAGAGACAAGAACCTACTATAGCTATTAAAGACAGTTATTGCAACCTTCTGATTGACCTTTTCCAAACTGAACGGAAAAGGAAAGAGTAACACTTGTGTCTCCTGATTACTGATGAGAATAATACATACAATGCCAGAGGACAACACGGAAGCAAGCATAGGTCCATATGAAACTGTGTACAAGGAAGATCCTATCTCCTTGGATGATGTCAGTCAAGTAGTGAAACAGATGAGAAACAACAAATCTCCAGGACATGATGACTTGTCTGCAGAGATGGTGGGGAAGGCATATTGAGATGGCTACAGAGAATATTCAGTGCAATAAGGGAGCACCCTGCAGCAAGGCAATTATTTGCCCTATCTACAAGTAGAAAGGTGACCATAGAGATTGTGATAACACAGACGCATATTCCTGGTACTTCACATTGATAAAATATATGAAAGAATACTATAAAGGAGGCTAAGAGTCTGTGTTGAGAAAAACTAGAAGAATGGAAACATGGTTTTAGACTAGAGAGAAGAACCATCGACTTAATCTTCTACAAGTGATTTCTTTTTAAATCATAGAAGTATAACAAGTTCAAGTAGTTGGCTTTTCTAGATCTGGAAGAGCATCAGAGTCCCTAGAACAAAGTTGTAGCATCAATAAAGAAGTCAAAGTATACTATACCTCTCACGCTTAACCTAGAACAAAGTTGTAGCAAGCAATAAAGAAGACAGAGTATGCTATACCTCTCACGCTTAACCAGGAAATAAGGGGCATGTATAAAGTTCGTTTAAATACAATGAAGCCCTTGCCAGGGAAAGAGGACTGGTTTACAGTAACCACTGATGTGTGTGGTAGGGTGACGTACTTTTCCTATGCTTGTTCATCTTAATGAAGGAACTAAAAGTACGCATTCCATTCAACTGTTCATAATGCGGATTCTGTTACATTTGCATATGCGGATGATAAAGGTATTGTTACATCCACTGAGGAAGAGTTACAGGTACACCTGGACATATGGTGAAATGCTTAAGGAATTTTGCTTGAAGCTAAGTGTCTTGAGATTGGAAGTAATGGTATTGTTACATTCACAAAAGCAAACACTTGATAGCAAATGGGACAACATTAAAGCAGACAGCTTCAAATACTTAGGATTCTCCTTTAACCAAGGGACTGAAATGAAAGAATAAACCAGATCAACAGAAACGTAGACATGCTCTACTCGCTGTTCAAAAGCAAACACATACAACAGGAAAGTTGGGTTACCCTATACACCACCGTACTCCAACCTCTAATGTTGTATGGGAATTGAAGCATGGGCCTTAAATGCGAAAAAAATGAAGTAAAGTCCAAGCAGCCAAGATCAAAGTTCTTTGCCTTATCGGAGGTGTCATATTCAAAGACTGAATGAGAAATGATAATATTAGATCAGATCTGGATGTGAAAGATTTCAATAGGTGATCACTGAGGAAGCGTAGCGAGGCATATGGGGGAGAAGAGAATGCCACTAAAGTGGTTCCTGTAGAAACCAAAAGGAAGAAGACTGCCAGGACACCCTAGAAAACTATTGATAGAGACCACAGAAGAGACGATGGAGCACAGGAGAACCACGCTAACTGGATAAACTTAATAGAAGGTCTATTAAAACTGAAGTAGCTGGAGATTTTTCTGCACAGACAGGACCACAGGCTACCTGATGTCAGATAGTGATGATGAAGATAATGATCTGATATACAGTTTGTTTATTTTGGTTTAGAGCAAAGCCACATTGGGCTATGTGCTGTGTCCATCGCGGGAAGTCGAACCCTGAATTTTAACATTGTAAGTCCGCAAACTTACCGCTGTCCCATTGAGGGACATGATATACGGAAATGGGAATTTTATATTATTAGGTCGTCAAGAAATTAATGTCGCTTTTGTTAGATGAAAAAACCCGAACAACTTGTATATCAAAACAAAACATTTATTAAATGAAATGGTCTCCGTTCTTATCGATGATGCTTTCCCATCTTACAATCAGGTTGTTAATGCACTGATTAAAGAAATCACTTGGCTTTGAAACAAAAAACATGTCGATGTCCTCTTTAACACCCTCCACACTTGCATACGTTTTCTCATTAAGATGGTGTTGCAGCGAACG